GAGACACTTGCCATAGCTGAGATGCTTACACGTTCACTGATTCAGCTTTCCTCCTGCAGTCGGTGTCACAGTGTGTGTTTTGTGAGATGGAGGAGGACTTTGTGGATTGGTGTCGGACATATGGGCTAATGTTGGACTTGTGGGCTTGGGCAGCACTGGGTTGGGATGTTTTCTTGATGTGCGCTTAACCTTTATATAAAACTCTCTCTTATACATTAGTTTTTGTGGATTTGTTTCTCTAATGTACCCAGAATAACACAAACATAAAAGTCACTCTGGGAGGTCACAGTGTGCCATGTAGTGAGTAGCTAGTGGGATTTAACACACCGAAATGATAAATTCTATATATGGTTGGTTTACTGGATATTCTAATTTTTGTGATACTTTAATGTAGAAATTAAACTCTGAACAGAAGCCAACCTTCCTTATTTAAAAGTTATGTTTTAAAATATGAAAGGCAAACTATTAGTAGAAACTACAGCACTTCCTGGTCCAAAACTTTTTAATGGTTTCAAACTAGTTCCATTGAAGATTTTGGTGACATTTATCATTTGTATAAGCAAGTTAATGATCAAATATTTAGCTGAGAAGCCAAATGAGTGCTGCAAATTTCTTTTCAATGGTAATATATCGCCTAAATGATGTTACCATGAGGTCAGTGTTAAAGAAGAATTTAAGGAGAAAATTCATTATTGGATAAATACCTAAAAGAATTGCTTTTATTACTAATTCTTTGAAAATCCAAGTGTTTTCTTAGTATGTAAAGGTTAAAACTGGCATTTTGAAGTGCTGATCTGATAATCCTAGGTATGAAAGCAGATTCGGAAAGTTAAATTTTCTTCGTTCTTAGAAATTATTTTTTATGACTTCCAATTCTCTTCTGTTTTATATTTTTAACTGATTCTGAAGATAATTGTATTTTAAACTTATTCTGTTTTTAAAAAGCTTTTGGTCAAAATTCTAAGTCCTAGTGAGAAGTCAGACCTTACTAGAAGTATGCAGGGAGATTAAAAAGGTTAGAGAGAATGTAACCAAATTTACTCAATTTATACTATTCTGTAAATACTCATGCTGTAAATTCTTGGTACGGACAGCTGAGAGGCACATAAAATCTTCATACTTTCCTTATTAATTCCCAGGTAACTCCAAATTCATGAGCAAACAATGATCTTATTGAAAACTAATTTAGAGTCTGGAGATACTAAAACATAACAACAAGCAAGATTATGAGCATATTAGCCATACATGTGGTGTGGTCAATTATCTGCATGAAGTTTTCAAGGGAGCAAATGAAGAGATGAACAGGGCTTCCTTAATTACCATATGCAATGAAGGCTCATGATTATTAGCTCAAACCTTGAGAACTAGAGCGGGCATCTAGGAGATCAATTTTCATGAAAAAACTCAACACACACTCTGGCAGTCCTGATAAGGAGCACACAAGGCTACTTGTTTAAAATCTAAAATATCATAAATGATACAAAATATCCTAAATGACACATAAGTGATAAGATTATTGTTACAGAATTGAGCTACTACAACTGATGACAGAGACGCTTACAATAACTAACCCCAAAACTAAAGTGCAATTTCTCTTTTTAAATTTATAACTGAAACAGTTGCATCAAGATTAGTAACAATTTTTTATTTCAGGGCAATTTATTTATATACTCAATATTTAAGAAACAAATATAGTACTGATCAGATCAACAAGATTTAGTTAATAAACACCCCCTATGTCATCATTCAAGAGATCACAAGACACGCTGCACTGGGTAAATCTGCTGCACACTACCGCTTTATAAAGTAATGAAAAGCAATGAAGTTACTTTGATGACTAAGGCCGGCTTGACCCAAGCTATGGTATGCATGTGAAAGTCAGACGTTTCATAAGGAAGGCTAAAGAGGAATCAATGTGTTAGAATTGTGGTGCTGGAGTTAAATACTGGAAGTACTATGGACTGCCAGGAGTCCTACCAAATCTCTCTTGGAAGAAGTACAGCCATTCAGAATGCTTCTTAGAGGCCAGGATGGTGAGACTTCATCTCATGTACTTTGACCATGTTGTCAGGAGAGACCAGTCCCTGGAGAAGGTCATTAAGTTTGGGAAATTAGAGGGGCAGTGAAAAAGGAAGGCCCTCAGCAAGATGGAGTGACACAGTGGCTGCAACAAGGGGCTTAAACATAAAGACAATTGTGAGGATGGAGCAGGGCCCACAGGGTCACTGTGCGTCAGCATTGACTTGACGGCACTTAACAACAACATGGTGTCATTTACTCTCTAATGTTTCAGGCTCCCAAACCTATAACAAAAATAGTACCGATATTCTATTTTGGACAGCCATACGTGAAAATGTAAAAGGCACTCCCATAAGCTGGATATCCCAAAGTACTCTGGCATGCTTGAACACCTCTAACTCTTTATCTCTTACCATTTTCAAAACATCTCTGAACAGTAATGTTGGAACTATGGCAGAGTAATGACTATGCATGAGGAGGCTTCAAAAAGCACACAGAAAAAAGATGGAAATAAAAGATAATAAAATATTTTCACTAACTTTTTGAAGTCCCCTTGTACCTTAAGTACAAATTAAGGTGGCACATAAATGAGAAACATCTTGTTAAAGAATTGAGCTGCTGCTGCTCCAACAAACTGACCACAGAGCAAGGTTGCAACAACTAAGCCTGATGCAAAAAGAAATTCCTTGACCAGCAATAAGAAATGAAGTTATTACTAATATTTATTAAGTAGAAAGCATGAACCAGTATTAGCAGAAAAGGGAATTACAAGGACTAACAAAAGGTGGCGCAACCTCTAGACTTGAAGTTTTTAAGACAAGAGCTACAGACATATCACAAATATCCAGTTAACTACCTGAGCAATTTCATTTGTATTATGCAAGAACTAATTAATGACAAGCAGAATCAATCATCATGAAAGACTAAGATCGTAAAGAAATCACACAATTCGAATGAACTGAAAACTACACATACAGGTAGACCACGTTGTCTTGCTTCACTTTACCGTGCTTCACAAAGTCGTACTGTGTATTTTTGCAAAGTGAAGCTCTGTGTCAATCCTGCCAAGAACAACTTGTGCCTCTATACATTTTGGTAACTCTCACATTTCATATGTTTCTATACTGCTGTGGCATATTAAATACAGTATAGGGGAAACATAACTTGTACATGTGTTGGGAAACCAGAAAAATCCATGTGACTCACTCTATTGCCTTAGTCACTTATTTGCAGTCGCCCAGAACTGAACTAGCAACACAAAAACTGTAATATATATGGGGCTTTCAGAATTTTGTGGAAAACCTCCATTATCTTTTAATTCCATTTTTCTATGAACTTTGTGAATCCCTCGTAACACCAAGGGATGCCTGTATATGCTGGATGATTAGTAATATGCACAGAGAATTCTAATACCTGAGCTAAACCTGGAAATGCAGAAAATGCTGAATGGCTACAGTACAGCAGGATCAGCAAACTACAGTACAGTCTCTGATTTTAATGGGCTCATGAAAAAAGAATTGGTTTTTATAGAGGATCATTTTACAATCAATCTAGTGATAATAATGAACTCTGAACCTCAACCAAGAGAACCATATGCCCTACCCCCCAAAAATGAATTTCATTCTAATCATTAGAACTATATTACTAAAAATTTGTATGTAATTGCTATATTTTGAATTTTATTAATAAAAAAATCTATGTAAGTTTCTATTTTTTTCTTCTGTTATAGAAACATCTATGTACTATCCTTGAGTTTCATCTTTTGGCCTATAAAATCTGAAAGTACTTTACTACTTAGCTCTTTACAGAAAAAGTTTACCAACTCATACACTGGAACATCAATTTAAATAATAGGAAGTACACAGGGTTTAGGAAGCAGGAAGAACACACTATTCAAACCTATCTGAACTGTAGTACAGAGATTCGGAAGGAAACAGTTCCCTGAACAAAGGTTAAAGGTTCGGCCTGTAGCTAAAAGAGGACTGGTCATCAAAGAAAGACTGGAAATACAAAAATTTTAGTTGCAAATCAGAAGAAATTATACAGATAGTAAGGAAAGTCATTGACCACACATTGGGCTTTTCCCTTTTGAAAAACTATTTTTCTAGAATCAAGTACAAGGATGTATAAATAACCTGACAATAGTCCCAGGTTCAATGAGTGGCATCTAGCTGGGAGCTATGGTTCATAAGGAAAACTAATTTCCAGTCGCTCAAACACAGGATGGCTGGAGTGATATGATGACGGAAGCACACCAGCAAACAATGGAAACCCTATCTGTAGGCTGTTTCATCAGATGGAGGATGATCTCCAAAGAAGATTCAATTTTATACGTTTATGATGGAGGAAACGGAAACAGTAAATATTGTTGTTTTAGTCACAATGAAACCTTTATGCAGAATTAATCTAGGGATCTACTATACAGACAAGAGGCCAAGGGGGGGGTGGGCATCCTTTACGAGTTCAAATATATATATATTTTAAAATTTTGAATCAAGTACTTGACAATAAAGTATTCGTAGATCTAATAAATCCCTACATCAAAATTCTGCTTCCATCAGTGGTCCACTCAAACGTGTATGTATTCACTATTTCATTTTTCAAACATTAATATATTAAGTACAGATGACTCCTATGTGCTCAAGCATAATGAATTCTGGCTTTTATGTAGTTTACATACAGTTGATTCAAACAGCATAGCCAAATTTTATTTTTCAGAATTTTTAAATAACAGATATATCCCTTTCTTACATAAGGTAAGAAAAAGCTTTTCTAGAATCACACAACAGAAAAAGAACTCATTGAAGAAGCAAAAGGCTGAGCTGCTTTATTATAAGCGGCACTTGCTAAGTGGCTTTGGACTGCTTTCTCCACTGACCTTTCTTTGTATATGTGCCGAGTGTGTGTGTGATATACTCTTAGGATAGCCCCCAGAGTTCTCCTGGCTTAAAAATTCTAAGTCTAAAATTCAACTTTCTCACCTTGATTATTTCCACCAATTGATCCACACCGCTGTCCCCTGGAAATATTGGTTGTCCTAGTAACAGCTCAGCCAACACACAGCCTGCAGACCATACATCTAAAGAGAAGAGAAAACAAAGGATTACTAATACGCTGGAACTTAAGGGGAGTTGAAAATTGTATACAGTTTTTATAATTTTACTTTGATTACAAAGACTAAATATCATAAGCAAAATATTGTATAAACTCACTAAAGAGGAAAGGAGGCCAATAAGAATACAAAAAATGAACAGTCTACCATTACCATATATCAACTGTTAAGAGTAAGGATTGTAATTAACAAAAGAGACCAAAAAAAAAAAAGCACAAACCAAACACTTCCAGAGTCAATTTTGACACACAGAGACCCTACTATAGGATAGGGTAGGACTACCCCTGGGGTTCCCTAAACTGTAACTCTTTACACAAATAGAAAACTTCAGAAGACAGCAGGAGTATTGGACTTTTGATAGCAAGTCAAACAATCACTGACTTACTACATCACTGCCCTATATGCTATATAAAGATATATAATATTCCGGCAAACCTGTGACTGACATTCTCAGTGAATATTACTGTAAGTTTTCCCTGACAAACAACTCCCATCATCTGTGTAAAGAGCATTCAGCCACTAAAGGATTTATCTTGTACAAGTGAATAATCCAAATATTGCGGTATGGAATTAGCTTACAGTGGCCCAATATCCCTCTCCCAACAGTGTTTTAAAAATTAGTACCAGGGACTAATCAATGACAATATTAACAGAGATCTTCATAATCCAGGGAGAAGATCGATAAGACTATCCACTATAAATTAATAAGGAGGTTTTGTAAGGGAGTCAAAGGCAGATAAAAAACATAGATCCCCAAATGGGCTATGGACTCACACAATACCCTAGCTCTAATTTATGAACAATTAGTTCTTATTTCATGTCCCTGCTCAATGCTCACCTTCAGGAAGGAAACCCAGCAGATATGGGTGCTATAGCAAAATGTGGTGAAGAAATTAGATGGTATCTGGCTAACAGATAAAATAGTATCTGGGGTTGTAAAGCTTTGTGTCCAAACAAGCAGCCAACTAAGTCCACATGGAAGAGACACACCAACATCAGTGACCAAAGGATTGCAAGTCATATAATCCGAAGCCAAAGGAGAGAATAGTAAAAGAGTTTATTAAATTGTGGGCTTCTGGTTTGTAGAAGGTTATGGATGAGAGTGAAAGCCCAAGAAACATTTGTTAGATCGACACAGGAAATAGCCTCAGTGATTTCCGTAATGGAGGGATGGGAATAAACTGGTAATCCAACAGAGTGCACTGGACAGATGAATGCAGGAGATCAAAATTATAAACTTGACTTGAACAGTTAGGACCTTGTCATATTTCATCCCTTCTCTGATCTGGTTTTCAACCTCCCACCCTCATATTGGGGTTTATCTCATATGTATTTTGTTATTATAGGTCGTCCTCTGGAATTGAATTTTTGTTATGTTTTTCGGTATACGAACCCCAAGACTGATAAACCTATAGAGACAGCAACTAGAATAAGGGATCCTGAGGGATATATTTGGGGGGGGGGGGGAGGTGGGTAAAGGGGAGCTGATATCAAAGAGTTAAAGAAAGAAGTGAATGTTTGAAACCGATTGTGATAATTGTACAATACTGCTTGATGCGATTGAACTATGGAATGATAGATCTGCATTAGCTCCCAATAAAATGGTTTTGAAAAATAAAACATATAAAAACATACAGAAAACTTTTTTTTTTTAAGAAAAAGAAAGAAGAAGAAAGAGTAGAAAGCCTCCTATTTCTCCCGAGGAGCACCTGGTACTTGAACTGCTGAACAGTCCAATGTGTTACCCCTATGCCCCAAGGGTACCTCAACAAAACAGAAAGAAGGCATGGTTATTTACTTAGTCATACTTAAAAATAAGTCACTGACACCATATGCTTGTACACTGTCAGGTACTTTCAGGGTCGCAAGCATATAAGCATACAATATATAGTAAACACAGAATCTCAAGCACATTTTATGTTTTAATGTGAGTTACAGAAAAATGCTATAGACAGGAAAGGTTTCAAAAAGTTAATGGAAAAACAGAACTAGAACTCAGTGGAATTGTCCCATAAGCTTTTTGAAGCCCTTTCAAATATTTAACTGTAAAAATTTCAGTTTGATCTGTAAAAATTAACAGAGGTAAAGGGATATTTCAAAATTTATAAACTCACTTTAAAGTAAAGTGGAAAACCTCCATTCCAGGAAAAAAATCTAGGGGTACTTTAAATATATGTAATTAATTCATTTATTTATCTATTTTCATACAGTTTCTTAACCAAACAACCTAACACACAGTAGATGATGAGAGGACCAGCTACCTTCCATTAAATCACAGATGTACAAAATTATAAATACTGCTCTTCCCACAAAAAGTGATATTTTGTAAAACATTAATGTGAAATGAATGTTATTAGGTTAAAATGAATCAATAAATAAGTACTTGAATTTATTTTCAGTTTCAATATTCAATATACTAAGTATCAATAGACCCAACCTACATAAACTAAAGTGCTCACTAATTGGGAGCGAAAAGGGATTCATGTATGTTTTAAACGATCACTTGCCATCATCCAGTCAATGCTGACTCATCGCAACCTCGTGTGGGTCTCTGAGACTGCAACTGTTTAGGAGGAGAAAGCCCTGGTATCAAACTGCTGACCAGGCAGCCCAACTAGGAACTACCAGACCACCGAGACTCCTCATTTAAAACAATACCTGACCAGTTTTAAGGCCACAATCAAGCACTGCAGTATGAATCTCTAAGCCCATGTAACAGAATGGGAATATCACTTGTTCAAAAACTAGCAATTTGACACTTTCAAGGAACTCCCAGATCACTGGCTTTCTGGGAGAAACAGATTCTCCTTCAGAGTATTAGAAGGAATCAATACAGCTGGCACTGTAATTCTGTATTTTGGTCTCTAGAACTGCATAAATTCCTGTTGTTCTAAGCCACCTTCTTTCCACACAATAGCTAGTTTTGACCAAAAATATTTCAAAGTGGACTTAAAAGAAGATTAAACACCAGAGAAGACTTTATTGAGTTTTATTATCTTGTGACTAATTATTAGAAATTATAAGTACAGTTATTAACACCAACTTCTATAAAAAAGCAACATTTTAAAAGTAGATTTTAAAATTCCATTAAATAGATCTATTTCTCCATCCTCATATAATATATTTGCATATGTACATGTCTTTATCTAGAGCTCTATAAATGCCCTTTGCCTCCCAGCTCTTTCCTCTATTTCCCTTGATTCTCCAAAATTCCATTAAATAAAAATGAATAAAAGATTATTAATGAAGTATCTGTTCATTTTACTTTTAGATGTATTATTATTAATGAAAGTATCTGTTCATTTTACTTTTAAGTTCTAACTGGAATATGGCAATGGTTTTGGTTTGATTTTTTAAAATGTTTTCTTTAAGGTATATTGGGGGGGGGCTGTCATTTTATCCAGCATTTTTAGAAAATAACTTTTTATTGTAAATTGGGTGTAGGTTTACAGAGCAGATCATCCATATTACATTTAACAATCCCTACATATTCTTCATCTCACACTGCAATCCCCTCAATCTAACATCACAAACTTAAAATTCCTTTCTTTCCTAACTCTTCCGAACTTTGCCTTTGGTTAAATGCTATCCATCTAATCTGTTTGGCTGACAATTAGCCATAGAGGTGAGCTAATTTCCAGACCTAAGGATGACTAAAGGTCATAGTCTTGTGGTTCCGCCAATCTCCTCCCTACCAACAAGCCTGGTCTCTTTTATGACTTTGTGTTTTGTTTCACGATTTTGCTCCCATTTTATCTAGGACCTTCTAATCTGATCCCTCCCTCTAATAGTGGTTGGTTGTGATAGCCAGGCACCATCTAGTTTTTCTAGTTTCAGGGTGGTTTCTATAAACCCACTTATCAAGTTTGTTCCCATTAATGTGTTAGTTTTCCCATCCATCCATCCATCCATCCATCCATCCATCCATCCATCCATCCATCCATCCATGACAGACCATCTTCTAATCCCTTCCACTTGATTTACAATTGCCTCTTTATTTATCTGATTTCCCTACCTTCTTTGTGTCATCTCTCTTGCTCTACCTTATACTGGTAGAAATATCGATTTTTTTATAAATCATTGCTTTTCATCAAATTTTTCCCCAGTCAAAAACCAAATCTGACCCTATCAATCTAATTTTCTCTGGCTTTTGGGACAAATCATAGGAAGAGAACACACTGAGCAAAGATGACGCTCACTTAATCCCACAGTTACCAAACATGCATTCCCTAGAATGGTTCCTTTCTTAGTTCTTTTCAGTTACGTATAGCCACATCTTAATGATCCTTCCATGTTATGGAATTTACTCATTCCTTCTCTTAGTATTCAAACATATGTACCTATCAGTGGACTGGATATGACTTTTTTTTTGGCGTTAGAGATGACTTAATATAAGTGCATAATCTTGATAATGATAAGCCAGGAGACTTTTATCAAATATCTGCTGGGTGGCAGAAAGGGGCACAATGGGGGCAAGATGACTACACAAAGCTCTCGAAATGAAATGTGTAATTCTGTCCAAAGTAAGAGCTAAAATTATAAAGTATAAGTCCCTAAAACTACCTCAGTACCAAATACTATAAGCAACTTCTTTGTCACTAGAGCACAGATCCTATTCTAGGGCAGAGATTGGCAAATTTAAAAATTATTCAATAGTCATAAATATATTTTTCAAACAAATGAAAGCACCATTATTTGAATAATATCCTTAACAATTTTTTCAAATTTATTTTAGAGTCAAATGTACGTTTGGAAAGAGCTCAAATGGCTCGCAAGCGGCAGTCTGATCTAAGGGATAAAACACCTCTGAGTATCTCTACACATAAGCCAAACTCTGTAACTTCTATTTGGAAGAAACTGTATCTGTAATACATATCTAATTTGTATGCTTTGTTTCTGTTTGTGAAATAGAGAATTTCCTTTACAGAAATAATGTTAACAGTAAAGTAATTCCAATCTTGACTTTGTTTCCTATTCATGCCCAGTGTACCATGCTACCAACTGAGTCAGCATGGTAAGAATGCAAGCAATATACCATATATACTCGAGGACAAGTTGAGTTTTCCGGCACATTTTTAATGCAGATTTTGTGGCAAAATTGGGTGCATCGGTGGATATTCAGATCGACTTATACTTGAGTGTATACGGTAGTTATCTAGTCACCTTCATTATAAAACTTAGTGGATACAAATTCTGCTACTAATGATCAACCTCAAAAGTATTTCAGTGGAAGAGGGGAAGGAAAAAATAAATAAATGCTTAGGAATTTACGTGAAAGCTTAAATTAAAAACAAATGTAGTATATAAAGGACAAATAATGCCATTACTTTTATTATATTATTATTATTATTCCTAATAAGTCAAGAAACTCCAAAGTAGAATAAGTCAGTACATCTTAAATTCAGAAAAGTGAATTTTTGTAAATTCTAAACATTTTTGTACATCAATCTAAGACAAATGTATTTTAGGACACGCCCAGCTTTACATTTTCATGAGTTTTTCATGGCAACTAACAAGAGGTTAGTAACAACAGCCAAATAAGTGAAAACAAGATGTAATCAGTAACTATACTGTGGCGGTACATTCAGGTTCAGTACTTACCTATACTAGAGGTATAATCAGTGGCTCCAAAGATCAACTCTGGTGCCCTATAGTACCGAGAACAGATGTAGGAAACATTGGGTTCTCCTCGGACCAGCTGCTTTGCGCTAATGAGAAATAAAAAGCAGAAAATTTAAAATTAAATCAAAACCTTAAAACCTGCTATCATTCAGAACACTATACTTATCTAAGATTCACATAATTCCAATCATTCAACATCTGAAAGGAAATATGAACTATAATTAGTTCCAACAAAAATGTATAATTTTATCACATTGCTTTGAAAAAAATAAAAAGGACCAAATTTAAAGGAGAATTGTCACCTAAGGAAAAGAAGATTAAGAAGTCATAAAAACTTAAAGGTTGAATTTCTTTTGCTCCTCTGTTCCCTAAATTCTACCTCTAAAATATAAAGAAGAAAGGTCAGAAAAGAGGTATCTGCTTCCATCAAATAGTACTGTGGTATACTCGCATGATCATGGTCTCACAATTTGATCTTTGAATCAAAGTAAATATCCCACAGCTTAAAGATGCAATCTATGCTATTTCTCCACCATCTTGGTCAATCTATTATTTATATAAGCTTTCATTACCTAATAAATGCCCACATTCCAGGTCTTTCCCTTTAGGGCAAAGTCACAGCATATAAATCCTATTTCTTTGTGATGAGCTTAATTACACGTTCTCTTATTCCACCTCTCCTTTTATAAAACTTTGTGGCATATACTTGAACCATTAGAGTTAATTAAAATTAATTTATTTTGAGATGTCACTCAAGATAACTGGAAGAAACATTGAAGTAAAGCCAAGATACTGTGGTAGAAGCTAACTGAGATATAACAAAAACAAAACTAAATGCAGGAAATAAATATGAACAACAAACTCAAAACAATAGAAAAGGTTAAGTGCAAAGAAAAGGTAAGAAATGTTGAGGTAAATGATATCGATGGAAGTAGACACAAAGGTATCAAAGCCTGGGCCCCTTTCTCCCTTTAGGCTCTAATCTATGATCACACTACTCTGTACTCCCTTCATTACCAATTATGAAAATAGAAGGCAGTTTCACTTATAACCAGTTCCATGAGTAAAAATTAATCATGTCATGAATTAACTTCTAATTCCATCATAAATTAATCAACACTAATCCCTGGTTTGGGCTGCATGAAAATTAAGACTGTCTAGTTTTCAGCCTAACTCATAATAAACCCTGCTGCCTTCTGGTCAATATGTGCGTGGTATAGTTGAATTACTGCACATCATTTTTTTGGTTATCATTTTAATAGAAGTCTATTGCAAGACCTTTCATCCACAGTGCCTCTGAGGTGCAAACTGCCAACCTTTATTTTAGTAGGCAAGTGTAGTCTTTATCAACAAGGGGCCTGATAATAATACCTTGCATATTCAAATTATCCAACCAGAAAATTCACTAGATAAACAAACAGGTAATATTGGAAGCTTGCAACCTGCAAATTTTTTTACTAATTGATGGTGTGACCTTCATTTTCTTACATAGGAATCTGGCTCTCCTGATCTTGAAGGTTGAAATACATGTCTGACTGCCCGATATAGTATTCTCATACATGAAAAGTGGAGTATTTCTATGAACTTTTGAAGTCCCTTGTATATACTTAATCCTCAAACAGCCCACTTAGCCCTTCAGTAAGTGCTGGCCCCATTTCACCCAATAAAGAACTATCCACAAGAGAATAATACTGCTGACTGTTTTAAGTCATCACCAACTGGGCAGAATCTACAATAGTTTCCAAACCTACTGGATCAAGCCAATTTGGTTAAAACAAAAAAGGCAGGCTTGTTTTCACAGGGTTTGTAAAAGCATGCTGTTATCATACAAGCAAAGTCCCTGTCTCAAATTAATTAAAACAAAGCTATATCTATGTTACAAGAGCTGAACAGCAACAGTTTTGACAGTAAAATGAAAAAAGAACCTCTTAATAAACAAACATGTAGCTTCATATAAGGTGGTTTCCAAAACTTTTGTGGAAAGATTGAATTAAGAGATAATGGCATTTTCATAGGAACTTTGTGAAGTGCTCTCCGAGTCTTGCTATTGTCCTTTCCGTTGAGCAGACACCCTTATCAATAAAGCTGGATCTGATTGGGACGGTTTGTCCCATCGAGAGTAATAGTATCAAATAGGTGGTTTTGATTTAGTTTCCTTCACCTTTTCTTCTAGGTTCAGGGCGACAAGGTTCTAAGTGCAGAGTGAGCTGGGTGCCGTGACAGCACCGCGACAGGGTGTCAGGAGTAGAACGGAGCTCTAGAAGGTTTTCAGCAGCTGCTTGTTCAGAAACAGACCAGCCTTTCTTCTAAGAGCCTCTGGGCTGACTTGAGCCTTCCAATATTCAGTTGCAGTAAAGTGTCTTAACCATTTAATTCAAAAACATAGTGTGGACAGTATGAAAGAGAACACTCTGGTTAGACTGAGAATTTACTCATGGCAGAGCAAGTGTGCACTTGATAAAATTATCTGTTCCCCCAAGAGACAAACTATGGAAAACATTCCTGGTGAAAAAGTGAGAATTGTGGTGACTTTGGATCTGAGGAGAGAGCTTGTAGGTAATAGAGAGGAACTCACTGCCCAAAAGCTTGATTTCATGTTGAAAGGTTTAATGAGAGTCACAAATGCTAACCACTATGGAAAAGAAAAGACTGACATGCTATTACCAAGGAGTGAGTTTAAGAAAGAAAATTACCTGAAATGTATGGGTGGGGTAGGGAGTGGGGTGGGGAGTCGAATGAATGGAGGAAACAAGAAAATCCTATAGACTTTTTGCCTCTTCTGTAAATTGAATTTGACCTTGAACTTAAAAGGATCACCTTACTATTTTAAAACAATTTAATTCTCCTTAAGGCAAATACATCCATATAGTCAAAATTCAAACAATACTAAAATACAATCAATAAAAAAGCAAGCTTCTCAATTATACCATACTACCACAGTATTCTCTCCCAGGGGCAATAAATGTTACAAGTTTCTTATATGTAATTTTGTAAATAAATCATGTATATACATGTATATATTTGTATACATATACCTACATTGTTTCAAAAACATAAAACCCCAAACCCACTGTCCTTAAGTCAATTCGTACTCGTCACAGAGACTGTAAATCTTTAGTGGAGCAGACAACCTTATCGTTCTCAAATAGCGCTGCTGATGGGTGTGAACACAGGCCTAGTGACTAAGTAGCTCAACACGTGTCCTACAGAACCACAGGGCCTTTTTTTAAAAGGTAAGTGGGAGCACAAACCAAAACCCGTTGCTGTTGAGCCAATCCAACTCGTAGCAACCCTACCTGGGCAGAGTCACAGTGTTCCGCTGGGTTTCCTAGGTTGCTAGTTTCATGAGGTCAAATATAGGAACAATTTTAACAGGTGGGGGTTGCGTTCTTTGGCAGAGAGCAGTGGTTCTCCACCTTCCTAATGCCGAGACCCTTTAATGTAGGTCCTCATGTTGTGGTGACCACTATAAAATTATTTTCGTTGCTACTTCATAAATGTCATTTTGCTACTGTTATGAATCGTAATGTAAATATCTGATATGCAGGATGTATTTTCATTGTTACACACTGAACATGATTAAAGCATAGTGACTAATCACAAAACAATATGTAATTATATATGGTAAAATATTTCTTTTTTTTCTCTTTTTTCAAACATTTTATTAGGGGTCATACAACTGTTCTCACAATCCATACACACATCAATTGTGTAAATGCATTTGTACATCATTCTCAAAACATTTTCCCTCCACTTAAACCCCCAACATTAGGTCCTCATTTTTCCCCTCCCTCCCCGCTCCCCCCTCCCTCATGAGCCCTTGATAGTTTATAAATTGGTATTTTGTCATATCCTGCCCTGTCCGACGTCTCCCTTCACCCACTTTTCGGTTGTCTGTCCCCTAGGGAGGAGGTCACATATAGTTCCTTGTAATCGGTGCCCTCTTTCCTACCCAGGGTGCGATGTAACGATGAAAAATACAACTTTCCTCTAGTTCCTAAATGTTTCCTCCCCGCTCCTACTACCATGACTCGAATTCGACCTTGCAAGTCTGGCTAGACCAGAGGATGTACACTGGTACAGATAGGAACTGAAAATCCAGGGAATCCAGGGCGATGAGCCCTACAGGACCAGTGGTGTGAGTGGCGAAACAGGAAGGATAAAGGGAAATATTTATTTCTAATGACAAAAAAAATGAAATTTTGTCTTGAAGCATGGTGTAGCATGGGTAACAGTCTTCATGTTGGGTACTGATATGTGGGTGTATCCGCATGTGGGTAGACCCGCCTGGAGATGGATAGAGGAGTGGAGTCTCGGTTCCTAAGACCATTGGAAATACGTGTTTTCTGATGGTCTTAGGTGACCCCTGTGAAAGGGTTGTTCGACCCCCAAAGGCATCACGACCCACAGGTTGAGTACCACTGGTCCAGAGAGTCGCTATGAGTTGGTACGGCTTCAATGACACCCAACAACAGCAATCTTTATGGAAACACACTGGCACATCTTTCTCCTGCAAAGTAGATGGTGGGTTCAACCTGCTGATGTCCCAGTTAGCAGCCAAGCACCAGAACTACATATAATCTTGACCCTCTGCTTTGCATAATATCTCTTAAGAGTTCATTAGCTTTCAGTTCAGAGAAAGCTGCCTTATACTTTTTCTTGGCTACATGAATCAAATTAGTTGTACAAATAATATATTTGATCATTTTCTGATTGCTAGACATTTACCAAAAAACATTGTAATAAAAATCTCTGTACATACAAGATTTTATAAACATGCATTTCTAAGAAAATAATTCCTAGAAGTGAAACTGTATAGTGAAAGGCTTTATATCAAAGCAGGCCTAAGGAGCTCATGCTCCCTCGGTGAGGACCAGTGCTTAGTGACCATATTTAAAGGAGTATATATGGAATGCAGAGAGCATGGGAAAGGGGAGAAAAAAGTAACCAAAAAAAATTACAGCTAGCTTACCTTCCAAAGTCACAGAGTTTTAAGACAGCTGTATCAGGATCCAACAAGAGGTTCTGTGGTTTAATATCCCGATGGCAGATTCCAAAGGAATGGATATAGGCTAAACTTCGGAACAGTTGATACATATATAACTGGAATAGACAGCAAAAATCAATTTAATATTTCTTATCTCAAATGAATCAGAATCCTTAAGCAGAAAAGAAAGTGACAGATTTTCAAAACCAAGCACATGAAATTCTGGGGCATATGTCCTTTTAGTCACCTTTCCTTAAAATGTTCCATGCCATTTCTATGTGAACCCACTGGTTAAAATGTGATTAGCCGTGTGTTTACGTATACCACCCTTTAATAAACTGAAAAGCAACAACAATAAGCTTTTACAACTTCATAACTTGTTATCTTGCACACCTCACCTCAAGCCTATGAGATGGTCTTCTGATTGTTAAGTTCAGTATTTTATCTCTTATGCAAGGAGGCCTCAAAAAGTTTGTGGGAAAAGGAATTAAAAGAGAATGGAATTTCCCACTTTGGGGGGCATGCGGGGGTGGGAGGAAGCAGCCTTCACTTATTAGGCTGTTTAGTCTAACAAAACTTGCAGTTTTATTTTTAGGATATTTATGTTTGTGAGAGGTCAACCTCATTGGTAATGGATACAGCACCCTGGGAAAAATCATGGGTGGCCTGAAATTTTCTGTAATAAATGATCGATCAAGACATTAGTAACCCTACTAATAACAGCATCACCACTCTTCCCGATAATGCCCTTTGGAAACAGATTTTACCATGTCATTGAAAGAGGACGCCTAGATGATGAATATCGGTACCATCTTAGAAGAGTTTTCAACTTTGTTACACAAAAAGATATGCTCACTGGGGAAGAGAAAGACTTCACGGAGAAAGGGAATGCTATATTCAGTTTCCCAGAGTTAATGTAGCTATTCACCTCGACTGTACCCCAGTGTCTTGATAAAAAATGACAAAAAGAATAGTTGAAGGTTAGATGAAGGAGTAATATAGACTACAGCTGAGACAAAGTTAACATGAAACATTTCCTCCTAAAAGACATGAAGAAATCCACAGTTGAAATTCCATATACCCTAATGTTAAATTTAACTAAAGCCAGAAAATGATGCCTTCTATAAAATGAGTAATATAAATGTATAGATAAAATCTTCAATAAGATCAGCATTTTGCATAAGCAAATGTGGTTAAGAAAGCTGATGGTGCCAAGCGATCAAAAGATATAGCTGCCTGGGCCCTTTAAGGCTTGAAGATAAACAAGCGGCCGTCTAGCTGAGAAGCAACAAAGCCCACATGGAAGAAGCGCACCAGCTTCTTCCTGTGGTCATGAGGTGTCAATGCAATCAGGTATCAAGCATTAAAGACCCAGAAAATAAGTCATACCGATGTGAATGTGGGGGAGCACGAAGTGGAGACCGAAAGTCCATCTGTAGACAATTGGACATCCCCTTACAGAAGGGTCACAAGGAAGAGACAAGCCAGTCAGGGTGCAGTTTGGCACTGATGAAACATACAACTTTCCTCTACTTCTTTAATGCTTCCTCCTACTACTATCACGACCCCAATTCTACCTCACAGAACACGTACAGTGGTACAGATAAGAGCTCACAACACAAGGAATCCAGGACAGGTAACCCCCTCAGGACCAATGATGAGAGTAGAGATACCAGGAGGGTAGGGGGAAGGTGGGGGAAGAAAGGGGGAACCGATCACAATGATTTATCTATCACCCCCTCCTAGGGGATGAACAAGGGTGAAGGGAGACAGCGGTCATTGTAAGACATGAAAAATATATATATATAAATTATCAAGGGTTCATGAGAGAGGGAAGGAGGGGAGGGGGGAGATAAGCTGATATCAAGGGCTCAAGCAGAAAGAAAATTTTTTGAGAATGATGATGACAACACATATACAAATGTGCTTGACTGACACAATGGATGGATGTATGGATTGTGATAAGAGCTATAAGAGCCCCCAATAAAATGATTTGAGAGAGAGAGAAAATATCAGCATTTTGCCAGGAAAGTTAGAATTAAGCACTTAGGCCTAATTTTTTTTAAAGCTTCATAATTCTATTACTGCATTATTGTTCACAGATTTAATCTCCAAGTCCTAAAACTTAGTTCATTACCAATAAGAAAATGATTTCCCATAATAAACTTCAGGGATAGGCATTCATTTATTAAATAAGAGATGTTATTGTATAGTAATGTTGACATCAGCAAAGACCAAATGAGGGTGGAGATACTTGTCAAAAATCCTTAAACAGGGAAATGAAATAAAAATGGTGGGGGTGGGGGTGGGGGTGGGAGGAGAAGCTTACTGTTTAAATGGGGTTAATTTTAAGATGCCATTTTACTGTATCTTTTCTCTTGAATGAGCTCTTTATCTTTTGAACAGTCAAGATAAAGGGTGAAATATGCTATTTTATATCTGATTTTATTGGTTTTTTTTAAACCATTTTGTTGGCAGGCAGTACAGATATATCATTCCATAGTTCAATTACATCAAGCAGTATTATACAATTGCTACCACAACCAGCTTCAAAACCTTCTGTTCCTTCTTTAACTCCTTGATTTCAGTTCCTGTTTACACATCCCTCCCCCAGGAACGCTAATTCTCCTTGTTTCTATCGGTTCATCAATCCTGGGTTTCATATACCAAAAAAACCCCACCAATGACAAAATACATCAGAGATAAACCCCAATGTGAGAAAAACAAAATAAAACAAGTAACACAGAACATGTTGGCAACCAGATCAGGTCCACCCAGGAACTGCAAAATCAAAACAGCCATGAGATACCATCGTAAACCAATTTGAAAAAACAGAGAACAATAAATGCTGGAGAAGGTGTGGAGAGAATGGAACTCATATACTGCTGGTGGGCTTGTAAAGATGTACAACTACTGTGGAAAGTGATAGGGCGATTCCTAAAACAGATGGCAATAGAAATGTCATAGGACTCAGTAATACCACTACTGGGCATATACCCCAAAGAAATAAGAGACAGTTCATGAACAGACATATTGATCCCTGCCCCCACCACCTCCTAACCTCTTCCTTGCAACACAGTTCACAATAGCAAGAAATTGGAAACAGCCTAAATTCCCATCATTTTTTGTTTTTGTTTTTACTCTGTAAAAAGTATAAGGAGGCGTTGCCACACTAAAAAAATAACAAGAAAAACAATTTACCATGTGCCAGACACTGTTCCCAATGCTTTACATATACTATTCTCATTTAATCTTTAAACTACTCCAATGCGGAGTAGTTTTTCATATACAGTATGAGCATGAAGTGTACCAAGGAACAGCAAAAGTGAGCAAGTTGCCCAATAGCTTAGGTGAAGACTCTTCTTTAAATGATGATCTATTTTGTTCTCTTTTTATTCTATTAAACCAAAGTATAAAAAAATGATCATGAAATAGTTGGATCACTAAGTAAAAGACTAGACTAAAAATTCTTAGAAACTCAAGGATATTTAACACAGTTTGAAATTCAACTGATAATTTAACTGTCAAGCCCAGTACATTTCCATTCATTTGTTTACTTAACTCTTGGAACCACTCAGCTGCACATTAATCTCCATTTTCACAGAAGAAATAAAGGTTAAGAGGATGGTGTTGAATAATCTGATCAGTTACAAATTTATTACCAAATGGCCTTCCCTCTCTACTACAACACTCAAAGTGAACAACATATTAAATCTTATTTATGGCATACAACAATGTACCTAGCTTCCCCGTGTACACGGACCTTGTTCTTTAACATTACCCTTACAACTAAAAAGATTTGTAAGTTAGGCACTTGTTGTTTTACAGTTGCATTAAAAAAACCTATTCACCGCTGAAATACGCTCAAAACCAGTAAAGATAGTCAAAACCTTTAAAGTTTACACATTAACCATCAAGTACAATGTAACTCATCTTACAAAAGGGGTCAAAAACAGATTTGCAGCAATAAGGTCATAGAACATACTCAAACCCCCAGAAAAAATGAAAGGCAAATCACAAATAAGAATGCAGTTACCATTTTGCTAATGCCTTCGCCAAACAAGTCCTTATTGGTTGATGAAGTCCATGAAGATAATTACATGTGTTTTTATTTCCATCTGCTAATCTAAGCATTTTACGTATCAATAGGGTTGCAATAAAACTCAGCAGACTGAATATGTGAACGAGTTGAAGTTATTGGTTGTCAGCTCATCAATTACGACCCGTGGAGACCCAGCCCTGCAGTGTGAACTGCTCCATGAGTGGCTCTGTGAAGACAGATGGGTCTCAGGCCTGTTTTCCGAGTACCTCTAGATGAGTTTGTGCGACCAACATTTTGTCTAGGCCTTGAGCGCTTAACCATATGCCCCATCCAGGGAATCCTAAGTGACCCATAACTCAACCCATCCATGCCAAGAATTTTTTTTAAATCTCTTTAGAGCCTAACAATAAGAACAGATCACCAATAACCAATTCTCTGGGGACAGTGGCTATTTAAAAGAATCATTCATTTTCCCAAAAGGGGATGAAGGGTACTGTGATTATGCTGTTTTTGTTTGTTTAAAAGGGTCCTTTGTCATTTATACAAATGTACTGAACTATTTATAGATGAAAGAACAATATCCGGATTGGCTATCATTTGGTTAACTGCTGGGGCGAAAGTTCATCATCCTACTTTTATATGTGTTTGAAACTTTCAATAATAAAAGCAAATGTTTAGGGGAACTAAAGAAAGGTCTTGAAATAAGCAACATTTCTGCAGACAGATACTGTTATTTCATGGAGACGAATCAATTCCAACCTTACAGGACAAAGCAGAACTGTCCCCTAAGATTTCTTAGGTTGAAATCTTTAGGAGAGCAGAATGTCAGGTCTTTTCTCCCATACAGAGGTGTTTTTGAACAGCAGATGTTTTAATTATCAGCCAAATGCTTAATCAATGTGCTACCAGGGCTCCTGCAGCTAGATATAACAAAACAAAAACAGTATTTTCTACTAAGAAGTGGCAGAAAAATAGGTGTTGTGCAGCCAGGAATCAATAGAAATCTGCTACAGGGAAAAAATGTTAAGGATAGATTCAAGAAAGAAGGTACAATAAGCCTCTTTTTTCTAAGGTAATTGTAGCCAATTCAAATGAATATGCCATCCTTAATGTCATTGAACTATACATGTGAAGAGTATTTAAAGGGCCAGTGTATATATTACCTCTATATTTACCACAATAAAAAAATAAATATGACATTTCTAGCTGCTTAACTACTTTGATCACCAATATATTATCTGTTTTGTTGTATAGTTTGTCTCCTTACTAGAGAAGGAACAAAACTTGACTTCAGATTATTCTGTGATAACTTAACATTCATTTGCTGAATTAAGAGTTAGAGATGGAAGGGGGGAAGGGGAGACGATCCTCTGTATCTCTTCTCTTATTTAATGTCTACAACATGCCACTCTTTAATCAAGTGTTAAAAACCAAAATACTACACTCACTGTCACTGACTCAACTCCAACTCACAGAGAGCTGACAGGACTGAGTAGGATTGCCTCTGGGATTCTGAGACTATAACGCTTTAAAGGAACAGAAAGCTTCACCTTTCTTCCATGGATCAGCTGGTGGTTTCAAATGGCTTACCTTGAAGTTAGCAGCCACCATGTCACCAGGGCTCCTAGGGTTAATAAGGCTTTCTATCGTTTCTACATTACAGTCCACAAAGTGTTTTCATTCATTTTATATATATATATGAGCTCACACACAAACAATGCTATATTGCAGGTAAAAAACAAACAACTACAATTTCTCTATTTAGGTTCCATGTTGACAATGCACTGATGACTAGACAAATTATATAACTAAGTAGCAAAGTTGGGTCTCAAAGCTAAATTTGTAGGGCCCAAATCTAGGGCTCCTGTTGTAAAAATGTGCCACTGCTCTGCACTGGCTACGACACAGAGTAGATAGAACCGCTGCTCTAGACTGAAAAAGTTCAACGAGATAACACTATTGTCCCAGCTGTCCAGGACAGGACTTGTTCTATTAAAACCAGGACTTCAGTAAATTTTGCATGAAAACAGTATCCTTTCATTCTTACTACCACCAACTTAAACACAGCCTAAACCAACTTTTATTCACACTATACTGAAATCAGATTTTAATTTAGGTCTGAATTCCATAGAAATTATGGACTAGTTTTCCAAACAGACTAGCTATCAAATGTATTCATTTTTTCCCCATTATTGATGTCCTTGGTTTGGTGCTCATTTTATCATTGTGAAATACAAAAACTGTAACTATGAAGTAAAACTTCTTTAAGATTCTGATCTGAAAATATTTAGTGTCAATACCATTTTATTTCCCTGAATTCTTTCTATAGAAGGTAAAATACAAAGCTTAAAAAGCTAATGAGTACCATAATTATGTATTCAGATAGTTGAACTTAAAATTTTATCCCTAATTTTCACAATGTCATAATTAATAAATTATAAATACTTCTAATCATTTATACAATTTTTATCAAAATTACATTGATAAATTTCTACTAGGCACTCTATGGGAGTTCCAGGAAATAAACAAAATGGTATTAGTATTATATATCAAAAATTAGTCAGCATCTTTAAAAAGAAAACTTTAAAAAATCATTTTATTGGGAGCTCTTACAGATCTCATAATATTCCATAGTTCAATCACATCAAGCAGTATTGTTCAATTGCTACCACAGTTAATTTCAAAACATTTTTTTTTCTTGAACTACTTGATATCAGATCCCCTTTATCCCTTCTGGTCCCCCACTCTACCCCCAAGGAATCTTTCTTTCTTGCCGAATCTTACACCATACAATATATCCCTTCACATACAATTCTGTTGTTCACTCTCAAGTGGGCTTAAACAGTCATCATTGCTATCAGCTTCCTCTTTCCCCTTCTATTCCCGTACCCTCAGGGAACCATTACTCCTGTTACTGTTTCTGAAGAGTTATCTATCTTGGCTTTCATGTACCAAATGATCTTAATTATACAAATGAACATATACAAATCTAACATGATTACTGAGGTAAAACAAAATCCACAATAGTAAGGGGAGGAAATATTAAGGAATTAGAGGATAGTTATGTGTTTCATCAGTGTTATATCGCACCCTGGTTTTATCATCTCTTCCGTGTGACCCTTCTGAGACGGACTGTCTAATTATCTTACAGGTGGGTTCTGGGTCTCCACTACATCAGTGCTCCTTCACATCAATTTGGTTGCTTGCTTGTGAACTCATACCTCTTCCTGTTGTCAATACCTCATGCTCATACAAGCTAGTGTGCTTCTTCCATGTGGGCTTTGTTGCTTCTCAGCTAGATGGCCGCTTGTTTAAATCCAAGCCTTTAAGACCCCAGACACTATATCACTTAATAACTGGGCACCATCAGCTTTCTTCACATTTGCTTTTGCACCTATTTTGTTTTACGATCATGTTGGCAAGGTGAGTATCATACAATGCCACACTACTAGAACAAACCAATCTTGTACTGAGGTAAGATTTAAGTAGAGACCCAAAGTCCATCTGCTTCTTTGCTGTATTTACATATATATATACATATATAAACAAATACACCTATATTTATATTTATAAATATACACAACCATATATACCTTCCTTCTTCTTCTTTCCTCTTTTTATTTTTTCTTTCCTGCCCCACTATCATGTTTACCCATCGGTCACCTCTCAGTAATTCCTCTCAGATACAATATGAATGATCAAACAAGACCAGAAAAAGCTATGTCCTCCTTGCCATCGATTTTAGAAATTTTACCATTCCCCTGTCCGTCATTATTGGCTCGCCGTTCACTTCTCCACTCCATCCCCCTGGCCCCTCCCTTCTCATTCCCCCCAGGAACTGTTGTTTGGGTAGCTGTATACGTAGGATTGCCTATCCTGCCTATCTTGTATAAATAAACACACCCAAAAAAGAAAGACCATACAAATAGTCCCAAATCTAATGGATTCTGACCCAGAGCAGATGAATACCTCTCTGTTAAATAGCGAGCAGGACCTGTTATAATCCATCAGTCCAGTCCTCTTTCCTCTCAGGGTTCCACATCCTAACAGCACATTCACCCTTTTAGCCTTCAGGATTTGTGTCAGAAAGGCACCCATCCTAAAAGTTCCCATTGCTATTCCTGCAGTTAGAGATGGAAAGGTCTAGTGCACCTCCCCGCGCCGACATATCCATTACACCTTTAGACTTCCGGTGTGGCCCCCTTGTGAATAACACAACCAGTTCAGAGGAGGTGCCAAGTACTGCCCCTTGAGTCAGAAGTAAACTGAAGACATATACAATAATCATACTTATAAATGGCATTTAAACATTGAATTTGAGCATGCCTGTAACTATATTTAATAAAGATTATTCCTATTTCAGTCTGTGATACAATAATGGGGCTGTGAGAAATTAAATTTAAATGTGCTATATACTTAGCTGAATTAAAATCTTGTGGAAAAAACACTGCAATTTACTATAACAATGAAAAGTCAAGGAAATTTAAGATGAAAACTTCATGTTTTAAAATTCTATAAGAATTTAATGAAGTCCTAACAACATTCATTATGCAGCCCTACTTTCCCTATCCCACTCTGTATTAAATGTGATAATACAGTTTAAAGGTACCCAACATTTTCCTCAGCTCAAAACAAATTATAAAGGAAATGACTCCATACCTTGACATAGATCACAGGGAGCGTCTGTTTGGCTCGACTATAGTGTCTGGCAACTCTGTACACTGTTTCCGGAACATAGTCCAGCACCAGGTTAAGATAGACCTCATCTTTCTGAAAGAGTTAAAAATAAATTTTAAAGATTAGAAATTAGTCTTTTAAATGTTCACATTAAACTCTCTATACATTACTTACTCAGGTTATTTAAGACAAGACTCAGGTGTTCAATTTTAATTATGCAAAACCCATTCAGAGTATAGCCAAAATGGTAAAAATCAGTATCGCATACCTTCTTACTAGTAATTCCACAGAAAAATATAGACATTCCTATAACTGGTCAAATATATGTAAACTATTATTCTTGTTATCATGTCATAAATTTCATATTAGAAAATCAGAGAGGTAGTGTTTTGCATCCTGTCAAGAAAAAGGGCACAGTAGTAGAGGCGGCACTGAATGAAGAGTTTACATTTTGGATCTCTGGGCTGAGTTCAGAACAGGAGCTCTGGTGGTGCAGTGGTTTCAAGTTAGGCTGCTAACCCCGCCTCAGGGGGACAAAGAGAAGGCTTTCTATTCCCATAAAAACTTACAATCTCAGAAACCCACAGGAGCCGTTCAACCTGTCCTACAAGGTCATTATGAGCTGGAATCGACTCGATGGCGGTGAGCTTGGTTTGGATGACAAGCTCTGTTGCTAACTGATGGGCACCAATTCACTTCCTCTCTCTAGGTTATCTAATTAGTCTTCTAAATTGCTCTCACCTCTACAAAAAGATATTATGCCAACCAGAAAGTGCATAATTAGTTGAACAATCACTTGTATCCTATAATTAATTGAAAGAGAACCAATGACTAAGAAGGCAGTAAGAGCTACCATCTTCACAAGCTATTCCATGAGCGCTGTTTGAACAGCAGAATTCACACACCAATGCAAGATCAGGGAAGGTGACTCCTGCTCCGGAGTTGGTTCTCATTCACAGTGACCACATACAGGGTGGGTTTCCAAGGCTGGACATCTTCATGGGAGCAGATAGCCTCATTTTTCTCCCTCCGTTCAGTAGCTGGGATTTTTGAACCACCAAACTTGCTGCTATCAGCCTAATACTTAACCCACAGTACCACCAGGGCACCAAATGAAGGAAATTCCAACTAAACTCCAGGTGGAAAAGAAGAGAGTGTGACATTTACCCTGTTCATGTATACAGAGTCAGACATGTAAATTGAAGCAGGAAAATAAGTTGGGAAATCACTGTGCTCAGGCTTTAGAGTTGGCTACTGAATGGGTAAAGAATGCTTGTCTTCCCAATTTTGAAATCACCTTACCTACCAAAATGAAATGAAGAATTTAATTTTTCAGCATTTATTAAACATTTTCCAAATGGCAGTTATCACTGCATAGGAAGTCTGTGTGTGGGTATAAAAGCGGTAACATCTGTGAGGCGCATTATGGACAGAAAAAACCATATTCACGGTGTGGGTCACAAGAGTGCAGCAGGGCGCAGTAAGTTTCTTGAGACAGTGTGACTCTGAGCCTTTTCAGTTTTGCTCAATCTGTCACATCTGTTCTTCCCTTCTTATCCAGTTTCAACTCCTGATACATTAGCCTTGCTCTCTTAACCACGGATAGTTAACAGAGCTGTCCCAAGACCTCTTGGGTTATTTATCTAAATGGCTACATACTAAATATACATTGGTGTCTCTCAAATTTATACATATGGCCTGGATCTCTGAATTATATATCCAAATTCAACTGATACCTTAAACTTAACATATTCAAAATTAACCTCCTGATCTCCCCAATCTGCTTTCAAAATATGCACCTCCTTAGGTCTCCCTGTTAGGACAGTTCATGCAGCTCCATTTTTCCAGCAGGTCAGGCTGTAAACCTTGGAAGAAGCCACAATTTCTGACTCTTGCTTCCTCTCCTTGCTTCCAGTTCCCTCATATACATGCATTTCCCACATTTGTTGTGACAGAAAACACTAATGGTCCTACCTTTAACATTTACCCAATCACTTCTTTTTTTTCTTTTTAAACATACATCAATTGTATAAAGCACATTTGTACATTTGTTACCCTCATTATTCTTTTTTATAATTATTTTATTGAGGGCTCATACAATTCTTATCACAGTCCACCCAATCACTTCTTAAAATCTTCATGACTACCACCCTGATTTGTGCCACCATACTTCTAACCTGAATTATTATTGTAAAATCCTCTTAAATGGTCTCCCTGTTTCCACTCTTGCCCCAATACAATTAGTAACAACAAAAGACAAGCTCCTCACCCACAGCTCAACTCATTTCTAGCCATACTTCCTGCTGTTTCCTCAACACATCAGGACAGATCCCATCTCAGAGTCCATGAAATGACCAGTCAGTCCTTCAGCCTGGTGCACTCCTCCCTCCAAGCATGCAGATGGCTCACTACCATCAAATACTTCCTAGATTTAGTCAGATGTTCCCTTTTGGATATGGCTTTCACTGAACTCAAACCAGCAACTCTTCCTCTACCCTCATGCTCCCCAGCCGCCTTCCTGACCATTTTTCCTCTATACTTAGCACCTTCTACCATACCACACACACTCAAACTGAACCACTGACCTCACAGAGGTTAGCAAATACCTAAACCAAGCACAACCAGGACTCCTTAACATAGCACCGAATTCACTTTGTATTTTCTGCTTTTGTTCACTTAGACTAAGTTCAATAAGAAAAGGGTTTTTTGTTTGTTTTGTTTTGGTTGTTTTTTGGGGGTGGGGTGGAGGGGAGTCTGGTTTGTCTATCAAGTCAATTCTGGCTCACAGAGACCCTATATAGGGTTTTCAAGGTTTTGTCAATCTTTATGGGGGGACAAAGTCTCATCTTTCTGCTGGTGGGTTTGAAACACTGACCTATGGTTACCAGTCGAATGCTTCCCTGATAGTATCACCAAAGGTACTCTTATTTGCTGAAATAATTAATGTCAGAGGCAATGACTATTGATGTAAAAATTAGAATGATAGGTTGCTAGGTCTATTTTAACTCAAACACACTGGAAAATATGTAAGGGAAAGAAATGAAAATGAAAACAGAGTAAGCAACTAGAAATCTATAGAATCCATGGCCTGGACCAGAGATTTAAGGGGAAGAGGTTACGGTTGGAAGGATAAGCAACTATACTGGCCCGTTGAACACGAGTAAAAGAGTCTGAGAAATAGAGATTTGGGGGTTCATTTTACCGTCTCAATACTTACACAAAGTGCCCTGCTAGCATAGTGAGTTATGAGTTGGGCTAACCTCAAAGTCAGCATTTGGAAACCACCATCTACTCTCCAAGGAAGAAATATGAAGGCTTTTTGCTTCAGTTAAGATTTACCATAACAGAAACCTACAGGGGCAATTCTACTCCATCCCGAATTACTGAATTGTATGTAATCAACCAATGGCACTGAATTTGGTTTTTGGCTGCACTTGGAAGAGCCTTGTGGTGCAGTGGGATAAGCATAAGAAACTTCCTTGGAGTGGCAGTTCTACTATGTCCTACAGGATTGCTGATTCAGGACAGACTTGATGCCTGTGGGTTCAGGTTTAGGTCTGGTATAAAGAAAACAAAATGCAAAAGGGTTTATTTTGTGAATCTCAGAACCATGTAGGCAGCTATCTACTACAGGTGGTTGGAAACAGAAGTGAAGTCAAAACTCAAGAAATAATAATGCAGTCCAGCTAAAGATTTAAGCAGCAGCTGAAGAAGAGACTTGTTCATTAAAGAAGAGTGCAGAGTAAGACTGAGGGAAGGGGGGAGTATGAAAGCCAGGAACACGTGAGAGGTTTAAGAAGCAGGTGGAGTTAAGGGACTTAGTAAAGACTAAGTATACTGAGAGGCACGAGAAAGTAAAGAAAGACAAGTCAATTGAGGCAAAGCTGACATTTTACTTGGGGTGCAAAGTGGAATGGGGAACGTGGAATGGGTACGACGTGGAATGGAAGGAACATGGAATGCTAGGAGGGATGAGGACTGGTATACAGGCAGTCTCCAGGTTGTGAAAATCAGACTTAGTAACAACTACTTGCTCTTTAACATTTATATAAATTTGCCATCACTTTGAAACTATTGAACCCACCCCTACTAGCAAAGCATTGAAAAGGCACGAAGCCTTTCCATGCACTAAAGTAAGGCTAAATAAGAATTATATGCACCTATTCCAACTCATATACAAATCCTACCTAAAGACTTAAAAGACACAGATAGGAACAGGTATCATCTATAACCCAGTATTGCTTGCATCACGGTTCTTTGATGACTTTGCAATGAACAGCTTCAGACCATGGTGCCAATAGAAACCAAGCTGGACTGGGTTCAAAAGTGAGCAGATGGCAAGTGAGGAACACAAGGTAGTCAATGGAGCTCTTGCAACATCTCTGGTGCTGAAAGGAGAGAGCTGGGAGTCAGTGCCTTGATGGGAGGGAAAGTCAAAGTGTCTTGATGTGGTATTTTGTTTGTAATTTTTAATGGTTTAAAAAATCGCAAATTTGTTTGTAGGCTAAGTGGAGAAGGATAGGATACAGTTATTAAAGGGAAGGAAAGGAGATAACTGAGGAAATACTGTTCTAGAACATCAGAAAATGGGCACATGAACATAAAGAATCTGTAATTATGATTTACACAAAACTACACTGAAGTCCCTACTCTAGTTATTACTACAAAGTTTTATGGGCATAGTAAGTTACCTAACCTCTGTTAAGTCTCAGGTTCTTCATCTGTCATAGGGCTAATAGTGTGTGCTTCTATGCACATCATCCATAGAAAATAACAATATCACATGTTTTTCTGTAGATCTAAAAATAAGTGATTAATTGCTAGGGAAAGAAGAAAATGTACATTAAAAAAGAGTGCATGTCTGAGAGTAGGTAATACGTAAAACTATGGGTAGTTCTGTGCATGGAGAGTATAACTGCTCCACAGGGCTGCCATGGCTGTGACCCTTGAAAGCAGAGCCCTAGCTTTGCCTTCCCAGGCTCATCTGGGTGGTTCTAAGGAAACACCCTATTGTCTAGAAGTAGAGCACATTAACCCTCTGCATTACCCAAGGACTTCAGTCAAGAGTAAAGCTATGAAGGCTGAGAAGAAAA